AAGTTATAGTTAATATGTTTAATAAAAGTTATAGTTAATATGTTTATTAAAAATTCTGCTTAAAAAGATTAACGTATCTAGTAACAGATACCTTTTCTTTGTGAATAATAGTTTCAGTTTTCGCTAAAAACACGCCTGTTACTTACTTCTAATTCCTACGTTTAATGGGATCAAGTTTGTTTGATTGCAAATATGATCCCAGTTGGAAAACAATAGTTTTTCATTAAGTTTGTTTTTAGTTAATGTTCTTGATTGTTTACATAGCTGCGAATTCATATTCATAAATAAAAAGTATTTGTTTTTTTAATAATTCAAAACACTGGATACTTGCCTCGTAAAGTTGTTTCTATGAATTAAGACTTTCCACCAATAAATAGACTAACATTTCTTCTGTATTTTATGTAATTATGTTATTTCTTCCGTGTGTTATTCGAAATATAGTTATATAGGGTGTGCAAAAGATAAGTAGTTTTAATAACAGTTTGAATACTTTTAATTAGTGGCGCCCCTTCCCCTTTGGAAAGCTATTTAACACTACATTTCACTTTTAAAGGCTTTTTTCTGTGCGTAAATTTTTTTTTTTTATAATATATTGAATTTTTATTCATATGTATGTAAAAAATTTTAAAATTTATTTGAATGCTTTTTGTTTTTCAATTTATGTGACATGAGCTGTGGTGGCTCAGGGAATAGAGCACTCGCCACCCAATGAGTTGAACCGGGTTCGAATCCCGGCGATGGTTGGTTGATTCGAATTCCTCACCCGGCTCTCACCGACTACAGTGCTGACGTAAAATATCCTCAGTGGTAGACGGATCATGGGTTAGAGTCCCCTTTCCAGCTGGCTAACCGTGGGAGGTTTCCGTGGTTTTCCTCTCCATGTAACGCAAATACGAGTTAGTTCCATCAAGAAATCTTCCACGAAAGCAAATTTTCTCAATATTTGATCCAGGTTGATTCGAATTCCGCACCCGGCTCGCACCGACTACAGTGCTGACGTAAAATATCNTAATAAAAGTTATAGTTAATATGTTTAATAAAAGTTATAGTTAATATGTTTAATAAAAGTTATAGTTAATATGTTTAATAAAAGTTATAGTTAATATGTTTAATAAAAGTTATAGTTAATATGTTTAATAAAAGTTATAGTTAATATGTTTAATAAAAGTTATAGTTAATATGTTTAATAAAAGTTATAGTTAATATGTTTAATAAAAGTTATAGTTAATATGTTTAATAAAAGTTATAGTTAATATGTTTAATAAAAGTTATAGTTAATATGTTTAATAAAAGTTATAGTTAATATGTTTAATAAAAGTTATAGTTAATATGTTTAATAAAAGTTATAGTTAATATGTTTAATAAAAGTTATAGTTAATATGTTTAATAAAAGTTATAGTTAATATGTTTAATAAAAGTTATAGTTAATATGTTTAATAAAAGTTATAGTTAATATGTTTAATAAAAGTTATAGTTAATATGTTTAATAAAAGTTATAGTTAATATGTTTAATAAAAGTTATAGTTAATATGTTTAATAAAAGTTATAGTTAATATGTTTAATAAAAGTTATAGTTAATATGTTTAATAAAAGTTATAGTTAATATGTTTAATAAAAGTTATAGTTAATATGTTTAATAAAAGTTATAGTTAATATGTTTAATAAAAGTTATAGTTAATATGTTTAATAAAAGTTATAGTTAATATGTTTAATAAAAGTTATAGTTAATATGTTTAATAAAAGTTATAGTTAATATGTTTAATAAAAGTTATAGTTAATATGTTTAATAAAAGTTATAGTTAATATGTTTAATAAAAGTTATAGTTAATATGTTTAATAAAAGTTATAGTTAATATGTTTAATAAAAGTTATAGTTAATATGTTTAATAAAAGTTATAGTTAATATGTTTAATAAAAGTTATAGTTAATATGTTTAATAAAAGTTATAGTTAATATGTTTAATAAAAGTTATAGTTAATATGTTTAATAAAAGTTATAGTTAATATGTTTAATAAAAGTTATAGTTAATATGTTTAATAAAAGTTATAGTTAATATGTTTAATAAAAGTGTGTATGTAAAAATTTTTTAAATTTATTTAAATGCTTTTTGTTTTTAAATTTATGTGACATGAGCTGTGGTGGCTCAGGGGATAGAGCACTCGCCACCCAATGAGTTAAACCGGGTTCGAATCCCGGCGATGGCTGGTTGATTCGAATTCCGCACCCGGCTAGCACTGACTATAGTGCTGGCGTAAAATATCCTCAGTGGTAGACGGATCATGGATTAAAGTCCCCTTCCCATCAAGCAAACCATGGGAGGTTTCCGTGGTTTTCCTCTCCATGAAACGCAAATACGAATTAGTTCCATCAAAAAATCCTCCACGAAAGCAAATTTTCCCAATGTTTGATCCAGGTTGATTCGAATTCCGCACCCGGCTCGCACCGACCAGAGTGCTGACGTAAAATATCCTCAGTGGTAGACGGATCATAGGTTAGAGTCCCCTTGCCATCAGGCTACCCATGGGAGGTTTTCGTGGTCTTCCTCTCTATGTAACGCAAATACGGGTAAGTTTCATCAAAATGTCCTCCACGAAGGCAAATTTCTCCCGATATTTAATCCAGGAGTTCCCTTGTCTACTGGATTAGGTTCAAAATTACAAGGCAATTACAAGTTGAAGTCGTAAACCCAAAATTGGGTTGGCTGGTCAACGACACGGTTATGAAATAAAATAAAATTGTGACATAAACATAGCATTAAATTTTACCAAATTTTTGAAATAAATTTAAAGAAATAAAAATTACGAAATATAATTAAAAATATCAATTGTATATAAAACATTTTTAAACGTAATTATTTAAAATAGTTAGAAAGCATAACATTAAAGAATTTTAAGCAGTAAAAACATTTATATAATTTTTTTTTTTAAATATACCTTTTTTTACTTTTAATTATGAACTGACTATTAGTATTTAATTAATATTACTTAACATTATTAGTAAAAGTACTTAAAAAATTGCTACAAATGGCAGTAAAGTTAAATCAGATAAAAGTGAAACGTTTTACGAAAATCTTCTGAACTAAGGAATCTTAAAAAAGCATTTATTATGCTTATTACCTTTTGAGAACTAACTTCCAGATTATCAATATATTTTTTAGTCAATGAAGATTTATATATTTATTTCCAATATGCAATGGAGGAAAACTATGTTTTTTAATCTGCATTTCTCCCATTTCTAAGAATATAAAGTCGAATTGTCTAGTACTTTAATCATTAATCTTTATCTACTAAGTACGTGTAAAGCTTATTACCACGTATCTAACATTTCCTCATCATCTCTGTGGTAATAAATTTTACAATTGTTTGAAACTATATTTTTATTGCTAATTTCTATTATCATGATTTAAATCAGTGTATTAAAACTTTTATTCCTTGAAGAAACCAACTATTTCATAAAAGTGATGATTGTTTTGCTTCTACTTTAGATATACAAAAGACCTTGAATTGTTTTTTTGTTTAACGTTCTAGAAGCAACAGAATTGGTCTTTTAGTAATATTTTCTATAGGTACTTCAGAATAAAAGCAAATGGCAGAAATAAATAGAAAACTAGGTTACAATAAAAATGGCGATATCATCTGTGATTTGTTTTGGATTTACTTTTTACGCTGAAAATGTGCGTTTTAAAAAATGGACATACCTGGAAATGTTTCTATGTGAATCACAAAATGCTCCTTTTCAATCTTAAATTCCAAACACAATTTTTTTTACACCTACGTTATTCTTAAAAGTTATTCACTTAGTTTTCTTATTTTATATGGTTTTCCTATGGAAGAAGAAAATTCGTTTTTTTTAGTATTAAAAGCAATAATTATTCAGTAGTTACTTCTTTTGAAATACAATAGTCATAACAAAGTGATTTGTTAGTGTTTTGCTTTTTTCAGAGATGCCAACTGCTCCGGGCACGCCAAAATAATTATAAATGAACGGTAATTAACTACAGACTAAATCTTGCAAATATTTTGCTTGCTTTTTAAAAGGTATAGCACGACATAACTACTATAAAGTGGTGAATTATATAAGCCTGCGAATTATTTAGAAATAGTGGGGGATAAAAATCTACCAAATTGAATTTTTTAAACCAAGAATCACAATTGATAAGCTACCACTTTTAAATATTTATTTGCTGTTCGGAGCAAGTTGGCATCTCTGTTTTCTACGCTTTCCTAGTTTGCGACCCCAATGTGTATGCTTAATTTTTTTTATTTTGATTCAAAAAATATTAAGGCACTGATTACAGAAAACTTGTTATAAATAATTTTTTNATTCTTATAAGTTATTCACTTAGTTTTCTTATTTTATATGGTTTTCCTATGGAAGAAGAAAATTCGTTTTTTTTAGTATTAAAAGCAATAATTATTCAGTAGTTACTTCTTTTGAAATACAATAGTCATAACAAAGTGATTTGTTAGTGTTTTGCTTTTTTCAGAGATGCCAACTGCTCCGGGCACGCCAAAATAATTATAAATGAACGGTAATTAACTACAGACTAAATCTTGCAAATATTTTGCTATTTTTGCTTGCTTTTTAAAAGGTATAGCATGACATAACTACTATAAAGTGGTGAATTATATAAGCCTGCGAATTATTTAGAAATAGTGGTGGATAAAAATCTACTAAATTGAATTTATAAAACTAAGAATCACAATTGATAAACTACCACTTTTAAATATTTATTTGCTGTCCGGAGCAAGTTGGCATCTCTGTTTTCTACGCTTTCCTAGTTTGCGACCCCAATGCGTATGCTTAATTTTTTTTTATTTTGATTCAAAAAATATTAAGGCAATGATTACAGAAAACTTGTTATAAATACTTTTTTTTCCATGAAAATTTGTTATATTTCATTTGATTTCTAATTTTTTACAAACTTTACCTCCTAACACCTGATATTATATTGTTTCTAAGTGACGTATAAAGTAAAATTTTAAATTTTTATTTTTCAGAGGACTGGTATTCTTTTGTTGGCAACTTCACGAAATTCGGATTGGGTGTTGCATCTTGTACATTCGACGTCATTTTCATGATTCAACACTTCTGCTTGTACAGACACAATCACCTGCCAAGTGACGAAAGTGCTCTGATTGCATAAAATTGTTGGCAAGAACAACACAATTTCAAAGAATTTAAATGCGTGCTAGACTTTCCTAAACTGAGGTCGTCCTGCTTTTATTGTGAAATTACCTTGTGAATCTTCTTTTATTCTCTTATATAATTGTGATATTTAAAAAACTTTTTTTTTCGTTATTTATTTTTTGTTTGTACTCATGTTGGTGTTTATCTTTGATGCTACCTACAATCGATGAAATTTCGTGACATGAAGTTTTTGTAGCGAGCTGCTAATTCCTTCAACTTTTTAACAATCGTTTGACATTTTTCGAACAATCACGTTCATAATTTTCATGTGACTTTATTAATCTCTATTTTATAATGTTTCTTTTTATCAAGATTCAGAATAATTCTGTCAGAAAAACAAATTGCAACAGAAAAAGTTACAATTTTAAAGATTAATAAAATTCAGTTAATGATTTTTAGAAAATTATAGAACATTCTTACTGGATCTAGTTTGACTGTTCTTAAAATGCACCAATCAGATTCCCTATTTCTAAATTATATTCCATATAAATTTTTAGTTGAATAAAAAAGTTGTAATTAAAAAATACAGTCAGTAGAGCATTTGAAAATATTTTGTACAAACATTTAAAGAAAACATTGTAATCCTACATAAAATCGTTAGTTAATTAACAAGAAAGATGGAATATCTCCTCTTTTCTCTTAAAGATTAAACTTTTACTTGTTTGCAAACGGTAGCGAAAGAACATTTCTAGTCATGGAACTCGAAACTTATGAAACGCGCTCCAAAAATTCCTAGTCATGGAATTCACCTAATATTTAATCATAAATAAGAATAATCTTATTGAAAAACTGTTTTAAATAGTTCAATCAATTAACGACTCAATTAAGTATAGTTGGCATTATTTTTTTCATTTAACTAGACAAAATTTGTCTAGATAATTATTTTTACACCAGAGGTAATGCAAACTCCAGACGGTTCCTCTAATTTTTTTAATAACTTAATTTCTTCATCGTTTAAGCAGTAATTTTACGGAATCTGAAGACACTGCCTGACGATGTAGTTTACATAAAAATTAACCAATTCCGATTAACCGATTTTTATGTAAATTACATCTCTCTGTGTAAATAGAATTTGCTAATTTTTATGAAAACTACATTTAATGCTCAAGTTATATGGCGCATTTAAATTAGTTAGAAAAATAATGGCACATATTATAGAAAAAGTTGCCTGTCCCTGGTTTAGACCAAAAAGATTGTTTTTTGGTAATTTTTTTCCGCACAATTAATAATTAAAATGCAATCTTTAATCGATTGTTTGCCAGCTATATTAATTAAACTTAATCATTTAAATATTCTAGTAGAATTTTGTCACCAAATTTGCCCTTTATTAGCATTTCTAGTGAAATTACTATTGGTTTAGAAGCATTTGCAAATATTAACACAATTAAAAATTTGCATCATTCGCAGCTATTTTTATTCTATCTATATGATTTGCTATTGTAGAATTGTAGTTAGATATGTATATGAGCATCACATTACACTTTATTTCATTTTCTAATAATTGCTTAAATTGTAAAAGAATCAGTTGTTATTAATACTGAATCTATATTCTTCTTACAGTAATTTTGACTTTACTACATGTGGTAATTTTTACATGTGATCTTTTTTAGACACCTCGCTGCTTTATTTTAATGAAAATAATGTTTTGTACTACATATGCATGCAATGTAAGTACCTTTAATGTTTCTTACTAATGCTCAAAAACTATTTCTTTTTCTTAGAGTGCCATAAGGTATATTTTTTTAAATAGTTTCATTTAACTTTTTGCTACTTAGTTTAATAGTTAATTCAGGTTAAACAATTGAATGTAATCGTAAAAAACAGTTGCTTTTTGTACTTATTACAGAAATAAGTGTTTTGGTTCAACCAAAAAGAAAAAACTGTTTTTATATATTTTATTGCTTTAAATTTAAAAATAAAGTGTTTAAAAAAATAGCGATTTTTTTTGTAAAAGACTTTATAATGGAATCCTATACTAAATCCTAGTTTAAAATTTTAAAAAATGTTAAAATTTGGCTTTTTTTTTAATCAGAAAAAATTTAAACTTGATATCTAATTAAACTTTTGTTAGTTTTTTAATTGTGGATTGTAATTAAAAAATTATTACGAGATTAATTTGGTTTAGTTTAAACTAACATAAAATTGATAAAATTTGCCCTTTTCTATGAGAAAAAAAAAATTCATCTCAAAAATCCGTTTAAATTTGTAACAAATATTTGTGCATTGTGATTCAAAGAGTTGATTAATATTGTACATATGTTTTTATAAACGAAATATTTGCTCAACTAGATCAAGAAATGTTTAGCAGTTTGTTAATTTTAAGACATGTTGAAATTATATACAAACATTTTTAATGAATCTTTTACTTTTAAAAAAGAAAAGTGGATTTTATCAGAAGTAACCCCTTTTTATTTCTATGCATAAAAAATATTTATATGTCACATTAATAAGTTCCCCCATAAAAAGTGATTTTTGTACCGGTTTGTATTTAAACTTGAAAAAATTGTAATAAAAATAAATCGACTATGCTTAGTTTTAGAAATATATACCCTACTGTTCACCAAAAATATCTTTGAAAATATACCACGTCCTTTTGGTAATTCATGCTGAATGTACCATAACTTCGTCCAAGTAGACTAAACTTTTAAACTAATATATGATAAATTGAATTAGTGGGCTTTACAATCTACTACAGTAGTTTTAGTAATTAAATAATAGAAATCTTTAGGTAATTTTTTTGTAATGATTGTTGAAAAGCAATATCCAGCTTCACCATCTTCCTTGAACTTCTATAAATGTTCCCATCTCTTCTAAAATTAAAATATTTTATTGTAAATATTACTATTTAAACTACATTAAATGTTTTCTTTTCTAGAAAACTTAATTTTTTATTAAAAAGATTCAAATGAGAAAACTTAAAAAAGAAAAAACATTCGTTACAGGGTATAAGCATTTTTAAGCTTTCACAATTTTTTTTTTAAAAAATTATAGTACTTATATGATGATTACTTAGCAATAGGATCCACCTGGTACATAATCAATTATATAATAATCAATTATAATAATAATCAATTTTCTTCCGACGGAACTCCAACTTTAGAAATAAAGTAAAAGACAATCTAGAACGTATTAACAATTGAAAAAAAAAGGAATGAAATTTTTTTCGTTTTATCATTAATAATCTTAAATTTAGGTTTTATTTTCGACAGTCGAGTTTTTAGTCTTGGAGCTGCATTGTCTAGCTAAAAATTTGTTTTTGTATTGCAATAAAATGAAAAAATAAAAAGAACTGCTATAAATATTGAAACATATTTCTTCAACGCATTTAGTAACTTTATTTTAATTTGAAAAGTCCAGTGTGAAATACAATTACAATTTTTATTAATGCGTGTAATATATTTTTTTAAATTTTCCACCTCTCACTGGCATTTTATTTTTAATAATTTTGTACAGGCGATTGGAATAATGGATTATTAATGGGATATAAAAAGGTTAAAAAAAACTGTTTAAAAACAGTCTTGGAAGGTACCTCGGAATACAATTTGGGAATTGCTGGTTTAATGTGTACAAAAGTTGTATTTCAACATGCAAAAACTTCACAGGGTAAAAAAAATCCTGATTTAAAAACTTAATCAGAGATCACTGAGTCTAATTAAGGTTGAATTTGAACCTCCATTAAAACAATTTTATTTCTTTAACAAATAGTTACAATAAAAAAAAAATTTGCTTTTTAGGAAACAATGTTAATTTAAATTTGATTATATATTGTAATTTAATCAGGAAACCTGCTTTATCCGGTCAATGCTTTCAAAGGTATGCATTTGTAAACAAACAGAGCAAGATATTTGTCTTTCAATTATTTCAAAATCACACAATTCTAACCGATTAAGTATGACGGTGACAAATCAAACAATTTTTTAATGAAATTGTCAATTAAAGTTTGGTTTTATTTGTAAATATATTGGTAAAATTAATAATTATTACAATTGTGTGTAAACTACTCAACACTGTGTACATAAACTATTGCTTGTTGGTTTTTCTCTTTCTTCTACTGTAAATATATCGTATTAAAAAGAGCTATATTTTGTTCACTTTAACCCTTTATGTCTTGATAGGATATTTATTTGATCATTTAATGCAACAACAAAAAACGTTCCAATATTGAACATAAAGGGTCAATTTATTAAGAATCAAATCTAGAGTTGTATAATTGATTAAGGCATGCAAATATTTGTAGAATATAAGCTTCGTTAAAAGACTTGCACGTCTGTTTTATTCTTTGTTTGTATAGCAGGAGCACTATAGAACCAAAAGAGATATTGGGTTCCTTTGTTTTTATGTTATAGTTGCATGTATCAACTATATTTCAAGTGTAGCTTATCAGAATAAAACTCTTACGAACTCCATGCATTTATTCATAGACTTTTTATGTGTTTTGTAGTCTCTATCATAATCCTGATGCTTGCCAAACTATAGTTTGTCTACGGTAAGAACTCCTCCAGCCACAAAGTCTGAGGCTATCTGCTGCTATGGAAACAAGAATAGCGCATTTCAGGGAGGGTAGCTTCTCTTCACACTAGGGTTAACACAACAGACCGAAGAAAGATTCCCTTTCTCTCGCCGACCAGAGCCAAAACCTGTCTTAAACAGTGACCTCTACTTGAAATAGTTATAGTCACCGGACCAGACGAATAGCTAGGGGAGTTCTTACATTAGACAAACTATATGACATTGTTGCTAAATTAACTTTTATCACTGTAAGCAAAGATGCCAACATGAAGAGAAAAATCCAGTGGATTTCCCAAATACAGGGTGTCCCATAAATGTTGGGATAGATCACACAATGAGGATTAATAATTGTACAGCAACCAATGGCCAGATGTGTCCTCATACGCCGCTAGGGGTGCTTTGTTATTATGAACTGATTCTTTGTGTGGCTTTGAACAGGTATTTTTATTAAATCCAAAATATCTTAATTCCGTGTTTTCTAATAATTATTGTCGAAAATTGCATTCAACTAGGTTTTACTTTATCGTAATTTTGTGATGTGCTCACTAACTGGACAAGAACACCAAATCAAAAACCGTAATAAAGCTACTAATACTGAACCTATATAAATGATATTTTCTGCAACAATTTATAGAAAACACGCAATTAAGATATTTTATATTATCTGTTCAAAGACACGCGAAGAAATAGTTTTAAAGTTTGTTCCATACTGAAATCCATGACTTTCCAGGTGCGCAGATACCTGCACATATTTTAGGTCAAAATCTTTGTAAAAAAATATGCCAGCTTCTTTTTGGCATCACAGTTTGCACATGTAATTTGTAATAACTTAGTCTGGAAGTTTGCAGAGCTTAAATTTGATAAATACACACCTGTAAACCAAATTTTATTAATGACAGGAAATAAAGAACAAGGACAGGACCTTGAACAAAAAGTCTTAGATAAACTTATATGAAGGTTTATTTATTCATATATCATCAAGTGGCATAAAATTACACCAAATTTGTTTGAAATGCAAAAAAGAAAATATAAATGCATGATATTTAAGTGATAAATAGTAAAATTTGAAACATTTATTCAAAAATCACATTTGGTATTCATGAATCACGGGCTACATAGATTTGACTAGTGAAAGGATAGGGGAGAAGGGGGAGTAATCCAAAATATATTATATATCACAAAATGAGTAATTAAAAATCAATAATTTTTTTTCCATTCCCTACATCGATAAAACTCAACATTGAAAGCCCAAGAGCATGATCTAATAAGGGTTAATTAGATTCAATACTTTATACAAGAGTATATGAGAAACAAAACATTTAGATTAAATCATTTAAATAAGTGAAACTTTGGGTGGTAGTGGGGGTGCTTCCTCATCAGTTTCATTGAGAGGTATCAAAGGTGCCTTCAGCTCTTTGCTGGTTTCACACACAATAAGAAATCCAAGTTCCTTCTTCTAGAAACAAAAATACATACATTAAAAAAAAATTCTTTTTTTTTTTGTGTAAACTACAACTATAACAAACGTAGGAAGCCGAGACATTAAGTTATTGAACATTTAACTAATGGTAAAGTGAATAATTCATGTATATTCCAATATATAAGTCTATTTTAAAACCCCTAAAATTTAATGAAAATCAGGAGTTGAATTAGACACAGGTAGTAAAGTTGGACATTTGCAGTTCGTGAAATATCAATGCATTTATGAACGATTAACTTTGTATCAATTTACCCCTTACATAAGCAACTTTTAATATGCAGAGATGATTGTGCTCCAAAAAAAATCTGAATTTTCAGCACTCTGGAAGTTTTTGGAAATCCAAGGCAAAGAAGTTTCAAGAAATCATGGATCATATTTATGTATATAAATTCTTGTATAATTTATTCAAAAATATTAGAACTAGAATTTATACATGGCATCTATTTCATTTGCGAATATTTTTTTTCTGGTAGAATAATAAATGTGATTAGACATAAAAGTAAACTTATACATAATTTTTCATTTAAATTATGCTGCATATAATTTATTTAAAATTTCATGTTATGGAAAATCAATAATTTAAATTTATAAAGACATTCACTTTTTGAAATTCGTCATTAATGATTTTACTCAAGAAATTTTCAAGAATTTCGAGTTTGGTTCACAATCACCCTTGAATATGTTATATACAATTAATTTTGTATTTTTTTACATATAAAAGATTTTTTTAGAAACAATATTTTAAATTATGTTCAGAAAAAAAAATTTAATTAAGAAAAGTAAAGATGAGAGTATTTCAAAATCTAACACAATTAAAACTCTAAAGCATACCACAAAGTTGCACATTTAAAAATTCCATAACATCATCTGTGTCGGATTCTATAACGCTAGCAGTGTCCATGGGTGCAAGTTGGAAAAAAGGCCAAGACTGAAAACTTTTTGACTGAAATACCTAACATACACAATACCCCCTCGACATATGCAAACTATCTAAGAAAGCTTTACCATAATACATTAAGATTAAATACTGTACAAAAAATATTTATTCATCTGTCTTTTGATAAAATAACAACAGGACATAAGAAAATAGACCAATAACGTAGACCTAAAAATATTTTTATGGACAGAAGAAGAAAAAATCCAATTTCCGTCTTCGAGTCAGTCTTGTTTCCGTCCGCGGACATTTTCGAAAGACGGAAATCCGTCCTGGGGACGGAAGACTTGCACCCATGGCAGTGTCATCATATGGATCCCATTTTGCATTCTCACCCGCAGAGTCCCCCCCCTCCCAAAAAAATAGTCTACACCCCATCAAATATTTTTAAAATTCCACACTTTTTAAAAAGATTTTGCAATAAAATAGAAATTTTAACATTGTTTAACTGGTCAATTGCGACATTTTTATCAGTGGCCACTTTTTAAAAAATTGCAAATAGCTTACAACAGGAAAAAAAAAAATAGATGACATTAATAATGTTAAAGCCACACTTTCTAAGCATTTCTCAAAATATGGTAAACATTGCAATTGTAAGGTTTATTTTTAAAATGAAGAAAATTTTTTAAAAAACAAGCATGAAATAAAATATTCAGAATACTATAAAATATTCATAATAATTACGTATTTATTAAAACATGCATTTTTGATGAAAGAAATAGGATTTTGGTGGCAAATGGCAGTCAATTTTTAAATTACAAACAGTTGTATTTAGAGCCCCAGTGACGACCACTAATTTTGCCATTTCACAACATGCCAACAAGAAAACTTTTAGTTATAACAGATTTAACGTGTTGCATACAAATCCCAATTGTTTAGTTGACCACCCAAATAAAATTCAGGGTCTCGGTGATACTGTGTCCAACTGGGTCAGTTTAGACGATTTTTCTCTCATTTAAAAACCTTAGAAGGTTATAGAAGGTTTTTCCTAAAAAGAATGGCACGACAGTAGAAAAAGTGAGGAAAATTTTGATCAACAATCTTGATCAACAGATGAGTGAGTAATAAAAATTTGATCATTTGAATAAAATCTTACTTTAGAAGATATACGATGATGGGGTGCAGTAACGGCAGTTGCACAGCACAGCCACAATAAAGCGAAAACAAATCCAAAGAGAATCACAACCAAAATCCATCGAGGAATGCCCGATTGGTGGGAAATGCAATCCATCCAATCAACTTTTGCTTCTTGCCAGTTTGATTGATAGTCTTTGGAATTACTGTCTTCATCATTGGATACAGCTGCAAAAAAATATATGTGCAATTTAAAACTGATGTGCATACAATTATAATTTAAGTAATACACATTTCATATAAAGGGTTCTACAAAAAGTCAAAATATTTCAAAGTCAGGGGAAATTTTAGGAGTATAATAGATTTTTGCAATTAAGAATATAAACTAAACTAAACTCAGTGGCGCAACAGCCCATAGAGCAGATGTTCCGGTCAGGTAGTCAGACGAACGCGGAACCCCCAGTGTTTAGTTCCCAAGCATGCTTGGTACTCATTTATTGACCCACTGAAGGGATGAAAGGCTGAAATTAGGAATATACACAAGCAAAATTGGTACTCTGGGTTAGACCTGCCAACGCTCGTGAAAATGCGCAAATCGTTTGGTGGCATCATAATGAAAAGACAATTTCCAAAAGAAACATTCGAAACACATTAAATTTATCAAATAATAACAACAAAAAATGTTAGTGTAAAAATATGCAATAAAAAGAATCAAAACTAAGTAAAAACCTCTATTTTTTGTATAATTACACACTAAATTATCCTAGAATCTAACCGTATATATTATTACAAATCATTTTGGCAGTCAAAAATCCTTGATAGCTTTTAAAGCGTGAACAAACAAGTCCTTATCCTTGTACAGTTGCTGCCACATAGATTTGTTTAAATACACTAAAGAACACTAATTCGCGTTGTCAAGGATTACACGGTAAATCTGATAAAATTTGCGGTTATTGGCACAGAAGCTACCTTTTGGCGATAATATCCGGTTTGGCGAAAATGGCAGACGGTATAATCCCAAAGTACTGGAAATCCTGATAAAGTTACACCTTAATTTAGAGGATAGCAACAATTCAACAAAACAAAATTAATTCATATACTTAAAATTTTTTAATTTCTCATTTTAAACAGTAATAACAGAATTGAAAAAGTTGACTTACAATATTCCAAACTTTCGACAACTTTTGGACTGGTCTGCAAAACAATCATTTTTCCAGAGTCTTCTTGAACGTACACTGTCCAACTGGTGGATATAAACTGCTTAACGTGACGTGTCATAGAATTGTATGCACTTTTAACATACATCAAAGGTGTGAGAAGGTGGAGAGTTTGGACCTCTTCCTAGATGTGTGAAATTAAAAGAATAAATGATTTTCCAATATAAGAATTAAGGACTAAATTGTCTGCAAATTTAAGGATGCTGATTATCTAAGTCAGTGTTTCCCAAAGTGTGGTACGCGTACCCCCAGGGGTACGGGAATNAATGAAGGATTTTCCAATATAAGAATTAAGGACTAAATTGTCTACAAATTTAAGGACGCTGATTCTTTAAGTAAATATGTGAAATTAAAAGAATGAAGGATTTTCCAATATAAGAATTAAGGACTAAATTGTCTACAAATTTAAGGACGCTGATTCTTTAAGAAAATATGTGAAATTAAAAGAATAAAGGATTTTCCAAATTACAGGGCCAGAATATAAGAAAAGGAATAAATTGTCAGCCAATTTAAGAATGCTGATTCTCTAATGAGAGCAGTTTCTAGGACACCAACATGGATTCGCAGGTATACAATTGGTAATAGTTCAGTAATTCCAGCAATTAAGTAAAAAAAAGAAACGTTTTTAAGAAAACTCAGATTTTTTTAAAAATAAAGTTACACAAAAATTTCTTGTTTTTTTTTTAACATACAGTCGAACCCCCGGTTTAACGAGCCCCTATTTACTGAATTTCGGGATTTAATAAAGTAGATTTATAGGAATCAACGAATAGTGACTCTGACACAAAAGTCGATGATAGTAATCAATCTCCAGTAAAAACTGTTACTTTTTCTGATGCTTTGCACAGTTTGGAAACAGTGAAAACTTACATAATGCAGCAAGATGTAAATGAAGGATCACTTTCTTCTCTTCACGACGTCAAAAAAGAACTCTTTAAAGTAAGAAATCAAGGAAATAAGCAAACCTTACTCACGAAATACTTTAAAATTTCAAATTAATCAGCGTGTAATCATTCGCTGTATTTTAAGTTTCTGAATATAAAGTGTAAAATTTCTATTTATTTTGTGTATTTGCTTATTAGATATGTTCAAATTTTCCATAAGGTAAGTCAATTTTTTTAAATTTTGACCCCGATATTACGAATTATCCTCGATTTAGCAAATAATGTTTTTAGTCCCTATGAATTCGTTAAATCGAGATCTGACTGTATTTACATAAAAAAAGTGGAAAAAATAACACAAATACGGAAAATCGTTAAATAGTAGCAAAATATGATGATTCTCTAGTGAAAATCAACCATGATATAGTGATGGAGGGAGATAAGAGCTTTTTATTTATTTCTCCCACATGGAACGTTCTATACCATCAAGTCAAGGGCAATTTTCTCTAACAATGGAAGTAGACTACTAGACACACTATGAAAACTTAGGTGTTTATTTTGCTATATGCTTGTTTCATGGCATATACATACCTGCCAACTTTTACGCATTTGGCGGAAAATTTTATTTCTATCTTTAAAGTGGTAGTAAAATGTATGTTTTTTATATATTCCTTGCATTTATAAACTTAATTTATAATCTTTTTGACCACCACTATTTTTATAATAATTAAGCATATATATTAATAAGTAATACTGTTGAGGTAGTTTGCATAAGCCTTTCCAAAATACAGTGTATGTTTCTGTCTAAAATTGTAATTTAAATTCGAATTTACTACCACTGGGGAAAATCAACCTCGGAAGGATTAAAAGTTGGCAGGTATGCATATAACAAAATTTCTGAATTTGAAATTTCTTAAACTCTTTTTTAGTTAAATAATATTTATTCTTGCTGTTAGCTTGGAATACTAACAACAAAATTTTGGAAAATACGAACATTTTAGGACATTTAATAAAATTTTTAATAATTAAGGACATTTTTTAAAAAAAAGAAAATTAAGGAATTTAAGAATGACTGTAAACCCTGAAACTAATTAAAAAAAAAAAAAAAACTATTTTGCATACAATAATATTTACAAAAGCAATACATTGTTCAGCATACAAGCTTAGCATCAAAAATTCATTAGATAAAAATGGAAGAAAATATAATTACGGTTTCAACTGGAGGTGGATAAGCACAACATCCATAATTACAAGCATTATTTGCAGATTCATTCACAAATGCTTCTGAACAAGCTAAATAAAAAACATGATTAATTAATAACTTCATTCAAACAATAATATTTTAATCATTTATTAGTAGATATTGCAGTAAACTCCTGACTATCCGCTCAACGTTTTATCCATGAAGTAGTTCAAATACTGTATAATATAGAATTAACAGGGTGTGTAGCCAAATCTTTCATCAAAAAATAAGAACCTTTTAAGTACTTTTTAAGCACTCAAAAAATATTTTCAAGTACTATATACATTAACAAAATAATTTTCAAAGACTTGATCATGATAAAATAACTAGATTCTAACAAAGTACTCTTTTGATGATTATATTATAAAATGATCAAGAGATTTTTTGGTTCAACATCAGAGGGTGGGAAATGAAGCCTGAAATTGAGAATATCTGGCAAAATACAGCAGAGTTGCACAACATGAGAGTACTAGAATCTCACCAAACCCAGCTCAGTAGACGCAGATTCAGACTCGCAAGAATTTCATCAAACATGTAAAATGATAGGCGTTTTTATACACTATGGACCAACGACACGCCGAAATAGATTGTGAATAACATTGAATAGAACAATGTCAAATGCATGCATTTGTTTAACAAGTGGCGAAAATAGACATGGTAAAGGAAAAAAAATCTCATTTTAGAAAAGGGAAAAATAAGCACTTTTAAAACACCTAATAAAAAAAGCACCTTTAAGGGCTTTTAAAAAAAGAAAATAAGCACCTTTAAAAAATGCTATGAACCATGAATTAAACAGTATTTACAAAAATCCAGACATAATTTTATTAACATCCAAATCTTGAACTGGACATCCAATTAGAACTAGGACAACCAAAAAAGTATTCATAGCCAAACCTACTAGCATGCATTAGAAAGAAAGGCTGTTATTAATTAGGTGCATAGACTGTCAAAATAGTAATCTAAAAACAATGAAAATTACAGGATAAAAAGACAAAGCTAAAGATAAAGCCACCTGGTATCCAATTCTGAAGAAGTCCAAGGCCCGCCCTTGGCTGTCTTGAACATAAAATGTTGCTATAAATAAAAATTTTTATTATGCACCATAAGTATTTTGCCTTGTGATACTTTGTTTGCATGAGATAGTGTCTCATAATATTTTGTTACATAATACTTCGGGTGAGATTTATTACATGTTTTTTTGTCAATGCGAGTCATGATGTTTTGCCGATATTTTGTCACGATTGCCTTCCAAGAAACATTGTCTCTCCATTCTATACTCTATTTGGATGCTGTCTCAGAATACATTGTCAAGGCGTTATTTCTTAACACAATGCTTTATTTCCATAAAAGCCTACACCAAAAACATTTTATTCGTTTGTTAGTCCAACACAGAACTTTGTCCATGATTTCATTTCTAGCAGTGATTCCCATCATTATCCTTAATATTTTTAGTGATGAAAAATTCTTGACTACTTAATAAAACACTTTACAAATAAATAGACATTTTAATTTTATAAAACATATACAGGTGAAGTTTTTCAACCACTTTGCACATAATCAGGAGTTGACTTGATATTTTGATTTCATTTAAACTACAATATGAACATCAGATAGTTTTACTGAATAATTTAAATGCTTATGCAGAATAAACAAAAAATATTTACCTGCAATACACAATATTGTTGTTTTATTAACATCCTGTATATCTTTCGCAAGACCGATTACAGTATAAAGACGGCAGCCTTCAGCACAAGACTTCTGTAAGCCCTAGGAAATAAAACAAACATTATTACAATACAAAATCTTACAAATACTAATACAAATCTTACAATATTAATCATCAATACAAACTACAACATTAATTATCAATACAAATCTAGAAAGACCTGTTTCTGACATTAGAAATACCTCCTTTTATCAAACATGAAAATATAATTTAGATCAAGAATGCGAAACTCTTTCACAATAGGGGGACATAAAATCCAAAAAAATGTCATGTTGGGGACTAACACATGTGGGGAAAAACTGTAATTGTAAAAATAAAGGGTGTATTTAGATCCTAATTAAAAGTAACATGCATATACGAGAAAAATCGCAATAAAAAAATGCATAAGAGATTACACTCAACTGCAAATACTGAACTAATGGCCATAAACAAAGCTTGAAAATTGCCCAAAAACAATAACTAAATAAAAGAGTAGGAAGATTGGTAAAATAATAATAAAAAAAACTTTCTAATACAGCTGCATTTTTTTTCTAACACCAAAAAAAGTTACTTATTTTTATAGTTACTTATTAAAAAAATTCTTAAAATTTTTATAAATAACTAAAACTGTTCATAAACTAGTTCCAGTGCATTTCTGATTAGGTATTCTGATAGCTCTATGTGGTTTATTACTTTTTAATTACTTTTTTTTTGGCAACAGAAAATATTGATTACGTATGAAAAGTGCATTATCAGAAATGTAAAAAAAAAAAATTCAATTATTTAATCAAAAAATTAGAATAATTTATTATAAACTAAATCCTCAGCTATATTATACGAGGGGATAATACCATAACTGTATGCCAACTCACTTGTAAATTTATAATATAAATGAAGCGGACAGCCGGAGAGTTTGTATGAGTGGTACGTGTATAAAATCTCGTCGACCAGAAAAGTTGCTGAAATTCCACCAAATTGTAAGCAATGCAATGGGTTGGTTGGTGTCGTATCCTCTATAGAATCATTATTTCATGGTGTGCTTGAATAGTTTTTATTATTTCTATGGCATTAAATGAATACAAATCCTCTTCTGTGGGGTAGTTTAAGAGGTGGAAGGCCTGCAGCGACTGCAGGGCAGTTAAAAACGTGATATAGTGTCAGTTCCACATTAAGACAGTTGCCACAGTTTTGATATTTTCTAGTCCTATCTGTAGAAATTTTCATGTTTTTATGATGTTTTGTTCTTAGTCTGATGAGAGTAGTGGCTGTCTTCCTATTGATGTCAAGATTAGTTATTTGATCGTGGGCTTTGATTTTTAAAAGGGTGAATAGTCTTGACTTTGCAAAAGCATTTGCATCTTCTCTGTTAGCTNAGTCTGATGAGAGTAGTGGCTGTCTTCCTATCGATGTCAAGATTAGTTATTTGATTGTGGGCTTTGATTTTTAAAGGGGTGAATAGTTTTGACTTTACAAAAGCATTTGCATCTGCCAACGTGGTTGGGATTGTATTTTGATTGAAATGCAATGGGTATTAATACAAAAAGCACATTTATTTTTTGAAGAAAATTTTTTTCAAATTATTGCTCTAAAATGCAAGATTAAAAAAAAATTCTGTTTATTTGCAAAAGTAACTGAACATTATAAAAAACTTTAAATTCATAAAATAATCTTCTTTTAATTCATAAATTCATTCACTTTCTTTTAACTATGAAAAACATAAAACCTTAAATTAATTTTTATTTAACTATGAAAAAGAAAACTATTTTAATGAAAAAACTTTGACACAATAACCATGCATTTGGAAAATAGATTTCCACAGTAGTGTAAAACTGTGTTGTTTGGCACTACTTTTTGTTTTTTTGCAAAAAGCAATAAACAGGATTGTACAAAGCATTCTATGATGATTTTATACCTATTGAGTTGGTCCCTTCTAAAACGGGTATTTTAATTTCTCGAGTACTTCTCTGGGTATCAGCAAAATTTTGGCAAAAAAATTTGCGACGATGCCATTAAGGAAATCTATCTCGAGCATGAAATAAATATAAATACATATATATACAGTGTATATGATATTTACTTTCCCAAGTTTAACCCTTTCTTTTTCTTCATTTCTTACAGGTTGCCGCAAAAATTGGTGCTAATTTTGGGTAAACAACGATAAGAATATCTCTCCATATTTGTATTCATCAGGAATTATTTTCACAACATGAAAGGATATACAGTACAGAACCCGTTATCCGGAATTCTGAAAACCGGAAAACCAAAAAACCTGAACGAAATTCCATAAATTTTCCCGCCAATTAAAAAAAAATAATAATAATTTTCGCTCATAAAATTTTAGGATTTTTCTTCTTTTTTGAAAGATGTTTACCTTACAATCATTTTGGAAATAATCATTAGTGTTTTACTTCATCGTTTTTTCTTCTTTTTAAGATTATTTTCTAATATTTTTTTTTTAGTTGGGTTTAACAATAAAAAAAACGGCTTTTGGTAGCGATTCAGAAAACCGGAAAAATCAGTTATCCGGAATAGCGATGGTCCCGATCGTTCCGGATAATCGGTTCCCTACTGTATCTATATTATAATAAGTACTTTCTAAAAGCACATGAATTACTTGTGCGTTATTACATCAAATTATGAGTATGATTACTATAAAATTTATAAAGAGAACAAATCAAATTATTAAAAAAACATTATTAAAATATAAAATTCTATGTTTATAATTGAATTATAAAAATACTTAATAAAACAGTAGCAACGTCTTAGATTTCATAATATTTTTCACAAACATGTTTGATGTAAGATTCAGTAAAAAAATTTATAAAGGTATTTTTTAGAATATTTATTCAGTAATAAAAAATTAATTTTTTTTGGTATAACTTACAGGTGAATTGTCAAAAAAAGTGTCGCAGCCAGTTTCACAAGATGATGCTCCATTAAACAATTTTTCTAAAACAGCACAAGAAACAATGTGAAAACATAAAATACTAAAAATTAACAGAGGAAAAAGATGAAAATAAAGCATATTTCAAAATAAATTTCGTTCGTCTGACTAAATAAAAATTAAAACTATATTTTCTGAAATTAAAATATAATGCAGAAATGTCGTCANCACGTGGACAGATACGCTCTATGATTGGTTAAAAATTTGATCGGTAAGATAGCAAAATGAATTTTACTGCGCCGATAATCGGTGCAATAGACACTCCGAAAAACAAAACCTTTATCTCGATTAAGATGATGTCCTTCAATCCTGAAACGAAGTAATATCGATAACTGGATTTAAGCGATGTTGCCGTTGCCTAAAACTATCGATCGCATTTGCTTCACTTTAATTTTATTCTCACTGTAATGAAACATTTTCATGCGATTGTACGCTACTATTTCCGGTGTATTTTACAGCAATTTGGTCATGGTTCACAACGTGATGATTGTGCTTTGAGATCCTTTTACGTAGTATTTCTTGCATACGTGTATTTGTTACTTGATTTATTATTTGTGTTTTAAAAATAGAATCGCGCGAGCGTTATAAGAATCGTTATTTGAAGATCTGTCACTTCAAGACGTAAGAATCGTCTCTGAAAAAAAAAAAAAAAAGTAGAAAGGAATCGTTATAAATCACTTCTTACCTAGTCCCACTAAATGTCAACCTCGAAATATAAACATAAATGAAAATTTGTAAAATGAACTTAATCTCGCTGTACAAACAATATGCTAACACCAACGTATGAGGGTGCACGATCAATTGTTTCCTCAAATATCAAACGAATTAGCATGTTTCATATACCAGTGAACAGATGTTCATTATTCGTAGTGGTAGTTACGCCACAATACTCCTCACCAGAATTCTAACAGGGATAGGCTCCGATAAATGGATACCACTAGTTGCCGTACTTGCGAAAGACCGAGAGAGCTGTATTAAGTCCACCAGATTGTGAGCGCTTGTGGTTAGAGCTGTGTGAAGTTCATCGAGTATCGAGAGGTTGTCGTGAGAGCTGTATTAAGTTCACGGTTGTGTGTATAGTCTTTCCTGAGTTGGTATTAGCAGTCGAGTGTGTGCAGGATTCCATTGTGTGTGATAATAAGCGAGTTACAACAGCGTTAGGAGGATAAGGACGCAGCCCCAATTATTAAGTCAAAATCTTTGTTACAATGTAGATCATTCAACGTTTGTAGGCGTGTTCAATACGAAGAGGGAGTTACTGTCAAAAATAGGCGAATTCAGATCACGTCTGTAGGTCACCAATGAGGGGTAAGAATTTCTAGACAAAGTAAATCTTCATTTATCAAAAGGTATCACAAGAATGAATCGAATTAGCGTGTTTTTTATACTAGTGAATTGATGTTTATTAATTGTAGTGGTAGTTACACCACAACTCTAAGCTTATCTGAACTCTCTTCTGAAGCCTCTTCTCTAAACTTCAAAATTTTAATTATTTTTGCTGATGAAAGAGGATTTGTAATATTACCCATTGGCAAAATGGGTATTGGTTTGGGTTTGATAGCGTCCGCACTTTATTTGGACGTCATCACACTTTTCAACTATGTTCAAGAGTATTAGTAAACAGTGTGGAAAATAGAGTGATAGTTTTTGTAAATATATGTCTGACGTCACAAAGTTATTTTATATGTTCTTTAAGCTGTAATTATTGTATATTTGTTAAAAGAGAAAATGGCAACGATGTTTGTATTCGAATGTTGATTAAATGAAAATGGTGAAAGTTAATGCATCGTGTCAAGTTATTTTCTACTAGAATTATTGTAATCTTGTAAAGTATAGAAATTAAATGGAGTCAGATAATAAATAAGCTGAGTACGACTGAATGAAACAATATTCAGGGAGATACTACCGACATTAGTGGTGACCGACGGACGTGATTCTACAAAAGGTATTGTGCCATTAAGTTTTAAATTATGGAACTCTTGATTAAGAAACGCTCGCCAATTAGAGGCAATTTTACCAAAACTTACAATGCATTAACTAAATTGTTGGCGGAAGAAAATCCTAAGGAGGAAAATATTAAAGTAAATTACGCTAACTTAGAAAGAATTTATCAGTCTTTGACGATATTGGACAATGAAATCTGCGACATGTTAATAGATACTTCCGAGCAGCAAAAATACGATGATGAATATAATGCTATCGAAGAATATAATGAAAAAATGGTTTCTGCGAAAGTAAATTTCGAGCTTTTTTTGGCGAAAAACGCAAGTTTAGATAGAATAAGTTTAGATGGTTGTTCGTTGTCAACGAAAAGGAAATTGAAATTGCCAAAAATAGAATTAGTGAAATTTAGTTCAGAGTTAAAAGATTGGCTTTCCTTTTGGAGCCAGTTTAAAAGAATACACGAGGATAATGAATTAGAAAATGAGGATAAATTTCAATACTTAATTCAATGCATCAGCAAAGGAACAAGAGCTAGAGAAATAATCGATAGTTTTCCGCCCACTAGTGAGAATTATAAAAAGGCGATTGAAAGTTTAAAATCTCGATTTGGGCGAGATGAGTTGTTAATTGAATTTTATGTGAGACAACTTCTTCAACTGGTTGTTCAAAATGCAAAAGGAGCCAAAAATAAAATTAACACCAGTAGTTTGTATGATAAGTTAGAATCATATCTAAGAGCGCTGGAATCAATTGGCTTAACCTCCGACAAATACGCCGCCATGCTTTTTCCACTTGTAGAATCATGCATTCCGGAGGATGTTTTTAGGGTATGGCTAAGAAACCCAGGCGCCATTACAGATGATTCATCAAATAATGTTTACAGCACAAAGTTAAAAAGTTTATTGGCATTTCTCAAAACCGAAGTAGAAGGAGATGAACGAATTCGTTTGGCGCAATCCAGTTTTGAAAATGATCGAAATCGTTTGGAACAATCCAGTTTTGA